AATAGAGCCGATTTTTGCCGCAGAAGTTGCGTACACACGAGGTTTGATTAACCAGAAACTCGTTGGCCTCACAAGGACCGCGTGTGTATAGGCGATAGCACAGGCCGTCGGTCCACGGCACATATCCTTCCTTGCACATGCACTTGGCATGCGGTGAGATCTGCGTGTTCGACTCTTGACCTGCCTCAATATCATCGGGTATGCGGAAGACATGGCCAGGTGGACAAGGACCTGGAGTGTCTAGAATAAATGTCGACATGAATTTACATTATTTTGGACTTATTTTGGGCCAAGGCCCTACCAAGCTCGTAGCACATCTGATGGGGTGCGTGATAGTGGGGCAGATGTCGCTGGCAGTCACAGCGGCCGCCAGGCAGGAATAGGTGACCCGGCGTTGAGCAGGGTCCTATAGTGTAGTGTTCGTAGCAGGATTCCTCTAACGCATAGTAGTATGGTCGCAGCTCCCCTCGCTGTTCACAGCGGCACTCGGCCAAGCCATCATCGTTGCGTGCCAGCAGCTTTCCTCGAGTGCACGGACCCTTCGAGTATTTCGGGTAACACTTGCCGTCTCTTGGCCAGAACAGCATCCCATCGTCGCAATGAAGTGGGCGCTTACAGCTGCCCCAGCGATTGTCAGCTCTGAAACAACATAATGTATGGCGGTGCGATCAAATTTGAATCATAATTGCTTACCTCTTGGCTTGCTCTGGAACGGGTTGAAAGTACTCGCCGTGCGGACAGGGTCCGCGGTCATAGAGTTTATGACAAGCATCGGTGAGCGCACTAAGCGCCGTGCCCGGCGGGCAGCGACACTCGGCTGCTGGGACATTTTTCCTCTTAGCGCTTGTTGCTGTTGGACTCAGTTCCATAGTGTCCGGACAAGGGTAGCCAAGCGTGAAGATCTTAAAGCATTTCTTTAGCGGCGGCCAGTAGAGGAGCTGCCAGCCGCCGGCCATGCTAGCGCAAGGATTCTTTGCCGGGTCACTCCAGGGCGGGGGCACGATGCCGCCCATTGCTTGGTGTTGTGTCAGCAGAAGCAGCAAATAGGTGAATATGCTGCTGCTTGCCTGCAGGGCTGCCCAGTAGACCAACAGCTTCCGGCGCTTTATTCGCATCGTTAGCGGCTGTAATTGCCGATAATGATGAACTGGATTCAATTTGCCTATGTCACTTTTACTCTCAATGCCTTAGCTGGCACCTATTCAAATCGGTTTGATCGCTCATTAGACCGCATGATTGATAAGTTTTCTATTATGTGAGTTGGTGAATGGCTCATAGCCATTAATTAAATGCTTTTCACTGCGTGTCGCAGGGGGCAGAGGCAGAGGCAGAGGCAGAGGCAGGGCAGAATGCTTAAAGCATTGAGATGCGGCCCTCCCAAAGGTAACAGGCTAAACATTGTTTCGGTATGAGCTTACAGCAGGTCCAAATTAAATTAGCCAACCTGCAGGCCGATGTGCTGCGTAGCAATCTTGTTGATTCCGCGACTTACAAAAACAACAAACCCAAACACAGAAAAAAAAGAAACAAAAATAAGGCAATGTAAAAACCAGTATGTGGTTGTGCGCTGTTAACCATGACCTAAATACTCGTTTATCTTGACTTCTTTCTTCCATTTCCCCTTTCCCAGCCCTTGCTGCGCTGGTCACTCGGCAGAAAAATTCTGTTGGCCAACGAGTGCCTAAAATCGAAGCCGCATTTACATAATCGTCGTGCTTTGAAAACCTGCATGTGGCTTGTGACGAAACTAGTGGCAGAAGCAGCCAACCAAGCGGTGCTGGGAAAACGGGCTGGGAAAACACTTTGCACTAATTCCCCAATTTTTGTCCGACCGCTGCCTGCCCCGGGCCGGGCTCTGCCGCGAATACGCAACAAGCAACACATAAAAAGCGAACAGGCAACAAACAACAGACAACAGCTGCAGCCCGAGCTATAAATAATGCATTAGGCTAACCGCAACTTACGCTGCTTTGAGTTGTGTTGGGTTTCTTGTTGAAGTCAGTGGCTTTGGCTGTCGTAACAGCCAACAGAAAGCAGCAACAGGTTTCCTAATGCCGCAAATCGGTGTATTCTCTTTTATTTGGTCAAAAAGAACACCGAGACTGAACACTGAACAAAGGCAATTCGAGTCTGAACAAAAGTTCATCAGTTATATCTTAGATTTGTATGTATGTGTGTAGAGTCAAGATCTTTTGCATGTGTATGTGTGCGTGTGTGCCTTGTTTGAAGCTCGTAAACAATTCTTGCTAATTCTCAGCAAAGACTACGCGTGATTCCTACCACGGCATGCTCACCTCGGGTCTCGGATTCGAGTTAAAATTGAGCTGCGATCCGACCCAAGCACTTGAATCCCGCGAGATCACGCTCTGACACACGCAGCAGTGCCGATTTCCGTTTTGATTCGAAACCCAATGCCAATTGACACATGTAGCAGATCAGTGCGCAACGTAAAACCCGACCCGACACTGAACGCGACGCGACCATTCGCCTGCGCAGGTAACAGACGTCTGAGCGCCGCTACAATGCGGCCAGCGCTAAGTCTGCGCCAGGTAAACAGACCACGCGTGGCTCTCTTGCTGTCACGCTCTCTTTGCGCCGTTACTCTTGGCAGCGTACTTAACAGCGTACTCTTAGCCAAACAAGACTGAGACGGGTTTCAATGCTTCTTATGTTTGCCATCGTGGGAGTTCAGCCTTAGACTTACTTCTTCAAATGCAGTTTAATTTTGGTTGAAGCTCTTAATATGAGTGACACCTGCCAGGCAATGCTGATTGGCATCGATGGTCGTCAGGCGTGTCTCTGACTTTGGTTTTGGCGGGGTCTGGGGCTGGGGCTGGGGTTGGTCAGAAGCAAACCGGCTTACAGGGTCGCGCTTTGTTCTTGGGTTTCAATTCGAATTGCGGATATGTGCGAACGTGTCTAGCTTGTAAATGCGTAGTCCGCTCTTGCAATGGATAGCGAAGAGTGAGCACATAGCATAAGCTGATTGGGTTCGGGCTCTCCTACGGCTGATCATAAGTTGGCTCTCTGCTGAGGTATTCCGATTTGACCCCGTGAAGGTTTCGGCACTCAAATGGCCGTCAACGCAGGTGCAAGCCAATTTTGCTTGAACACATACAAAAAGTAGTTAAGGGCTAGCGTCTCTTTGAAGCCAACACTCAAATTGAAATCTGATTACAGAAATCTGACCGCAAGAACACTACAACGCGACTCGGAGTTGAATGAGACGTCGGCGGAAAGCAAAACACTGCGGCAGCAGATTGTGGCACTAAAACTCAGTCGCGACGAAGCAATTGCGGAAAACGGGTGCGTATAAATAAATAATATCTGCTTCATCAGACAATAGTCTTAGCGGCCAGCATCCATATCATTAGCAACTAAGCGTTGCTAATGTTTTATTGGGTTCCACAATTAGCTAGCTTTTTGTGACTGTTTTCATTACACTAAATGTGATTTGTTTGTGACTCAACAGACGCCTCACGGACAAATTGAGTAATGCTCTGGCAGAAACGAGGACGCTGCAAAATAAGCTCAGTGACTCGGAGCAGCAGGTGGCTGATATGAAACAGAAGCTATCTAAATACGTCCAGGAGGTGAAAAGAGCCGAAGATTTGCTTCTGGAAAAGGTATATTGCTCGAAAATATTGTTTAATTAGCTTATAAGGCAGAAGGTGATTTGAACTCCGGGTTAACGTGCTAGGTACACTTTGTCTTAAAGGAAAAGGAGCGCGAGGAATTGCTAGACTGCTACCACAACTTGACACAGGACCAAGTTCTCTTGGAGGGCAACAATCAAAGCTTGGAGGTTGAGGCGAATGAGTTCAAGTGAGTAGCTGATAAATATGAAGAATTATCAAATTAACTAAGCTCAAATCGAATGTCTGAAAGGCGGCAAATCTGCGAGCTGGAGTGTGAAGTACATTCACTCAAGGAGCAGCTGCATTGCCGGCAGTGCACAATTGATGAGCTGGAGATGCAACTGACTGCCGCTCGTACTCGAATGCGATGCTTGGAGAGGGACCTGGAGAACGCGCGAGAGCTGAAAATAGAGCTGGAGGTGCGAAAGGAGCTATGTGATAAGCTGGATATAGAAAAAGAAAAGCTAAATGCCGAGCTCAACGAAATAAATGAAACTCGCAAAAAGGTAAGCTGATGTGTTTGGAGGTTTGCTATAATTACCATCGTCATATTTACGTGCGTATTCAGTATAACATTTATTATGGTATAATAGAAATGTGTCCTAGTAATTTAGTAAAACTAAAAGCCAGCCACTTACCATATAATAACAAAACTCAATTACAGCTGGAGAATGAGTGCAAAAAGCTGCGTGCCGAATTACAGCAAAAGTCTGAATTAAATCATATCAGCACTGAGACTAGAGAGCAGCTGTTGGATCGCATCCGCGGGGAGCGGCAGCGCCAAGATGAGGCAGGGGTAACTGCCAACTGCGAAATGGAGCGACTGCGGCAGCTACATGCAAAGACACTGGTATTTATTTACTTAATCGAAAAGAGCCTAATTGCATTTGTAGTAAGCATTTCATTCAATTCATTGAAAACAGACTGAACTTCAAGAAGAGCGGGATCGTTGTAACAAACAGGAACGTCTTGCTAACGAGTACGAGCAGCAGGTTCGGGAATTACGTAAGAATTTAGCCGAGGATCGCTTCTGTCAGGCGCGCACAAGGGAAATCACCCCCAGGGTTCAAGAGGAACCGATGTAAAATTGTATTCGATATTACTTTAACTTTGCATTTGACGAATTCTTTACGCTTCAGTGTCATTAATTAATTTACAACTACGACCCATTAACTAATGTAATGATTTTAGTATTTAAACGCTTAATGATTAGGAATTAATAATAAATTAATATTATGTTTAATCTCAATTGATTTTTAATAGAATGTCAGGTTGATAATGTTAAGCTTTATGTGTCATAATATTTATGTGTAGAGGATACCACAATATGCATTTAATATTTACGACTGAAACTAAATTAGCTTAGAAAATACAAAAATATAGTTATTATTATCAGATTAGACTAAATAATGTGCATTTGTAAAATTGAAAATAAATAAAAAATTCACATTTAACTTTCATGATTTCAGAAAATGAATGTGGAAAGCCAAACGTCCTCATCTCACTTAAATCAGATATTTGGTCGCCTACACTTGGCAACCAGCTTGACGTACTCATTGTACATACAGGGACATCCAGTAAAGGGCGGTATGTAATCGCGATTGCTGTCATTGAAGGTTGAGCACTCGTCCTCATAGTTGGATTCGTTGCACGTAAATTCTGTGTTTGTTGATCCTGAAAGTGGCCAATATTAAAATTGGATTTCATTACATGTTTCGTACTTACTGTGGGAATCTAATAGATCATCATCTGTATAATCGTTATCATCATCCGGCTGTTGAGCACCCGCTGTGTCACGTTCCATGGATAGCTTGGGCAATCGCTCCCAGTCGACGGCGCTGCGGTTGCCAAGTCCGCTTTCATCTCGAAACGTCACTGAACGCCTTCGCTTTTCCCGAATACATTGGTCTGTGCAAACGAAATCTCTTAAGGGTTGCTGTTGACTAATCGAAGGTCCGCATGGCACGTCGCAGAGGTCGAAGGGTTGAGGACGTTGCTCTGTCTGAACTAAGTTGTGGACGAAAGGCAGATATTTATGGTATTTTTTAACGGAACCATTATAAATGATAACAATTTTAGTACCTTCAAAAGTATTGTCATCCTGTGCGGCTTGGTTACTTGGTTCCGGATATTGCGAGGAACTCTGATAATCGGAACGAATTGAGACAGCCGGCAAGTTGCTCTGGCCTGGTTCTAGGTCTATGTAGTTACCATCACAATGATTTGGGGTTACGGGCAAGGCTGTATCTGTAGTAGATGGGTTACTTTCCGATTCAGGAGTGTGAGTGTCGACACGTTTGTGCTGGATCATTGCTTTGTAATTCTCGATCATTCTTCGGTTTCCCTCCTTCCTTCTTAATGTGTGCCAAGGAATAAAATTTCTAGCTGAGCTTGCGGATGTGAATATCTGCAACTTGTCAATCTTCGATGCATGTCTTGCTGAGCAAGTGGTACGACCCTTATTTCCATGAGCTTTCTGTTTCTTGTAGGATATGGCTCATAAGAATATGAAACACTTTTTTCTATAGTACATATTACTACTACTAATACCTACCGCATCAAATTTACTGAAAGTTGTCTCTTCTCGAAAAGTTGACGCTTTTTTCGCTTGGTCCGCATTTATCTGTTCACACTCCGCACCGTCTCGAATATCGGTTTGGGTTTCTTGTACTTGGGATTGTATTCCATTGGTCCAAACCTGCAGAGAAGATGGCGCTGGGTTTCTGGGGGACGTTTGGCTAGATTGGTTGCTTATTAAGGTTGTTAATAGCTGTGGATGATTCAATGGAATATTCGCCTGGGTTTCTTCGGTCTGGGTAAGCAGAGATTTATCGCTCAAGACTGCGCGATCAGTTGGTAATTGATTTTTAGGGGATGTTTGGCAAGATTGGCTAGTGATGTGATGCTGTGATGTGGATGCGGATGGTGGATTCAATTGGTTATCCGTTTGAGTTTCTTCCATAGGAGATTGCGCAGATCTGTCGCTCATGACCAGTTTGGCAGGTGGCCAGATCAAACGAACGTTCTTGTCATTCGAATCGGGTAATCCAGGTGTAGAAAATTCATGTATTATTGGTGATAGTTTCTTCGGAGCATTATCACGTTTAACGGACAGATTCTTAAGCTTATGACTCTTAGTGTGGTCATTATTGCTTTGAGCAATTTGTTGTACGTTTCCAATTGCATTTATTTGGTTTACTACTGGTGTTTGATTAGCACCGTCCTCAGCTCTCGCCGGCGGGCTTAGATTAGTAACTGTATTCAGATTCGGATTCGTAGAAGGTTCAATCTCTTTAATATATGATGCAGACAATCTAGCATCATTTTCATTCTCTACTGGCAACCTTGTATAGGTGGGGCAAGTATCAAGCTCCGAATTGTTTTGGCTTGAATCCTTGTTGGCAGTTTTCTTATGTTCCGTCTTATACATCTCCATATATTCGCGGTGCATGCGCAACTTCTCAGCATTGATATCGGGGTCATCTGCAGGTTTCTTTTTCACTGTCCCGTAATTTTTGACGCTCATTTTGTCTTTGGCTATTCCACTTTGATTCAACTCAGGTCTCTGCTGCCTATAAGATATTTTCATTATTTTTTCTGCGTTCTTAGGGGGGCTTTCGCTTCTCCCCTTTTCTTTCCCACCTGCCTGTATTGGCTGTTTTGGCGTGAATTGGAATTTAGATAGCGGAATCTCGTTAGTATTTACAGCACGATTTACAGTGGCTACCGGATCTGGATACCAGTTGCTACAAAAGTCCGACGTATTCAAATCCGTTGTACGCTTACAAAAGGTATTTCTTGGACAGTTGCACGTGAAGATTTCGCACCCATTCCTTTGTGGCACTAGCATGTCTAGCTTTTGGTAAAGCGTCCCGATTGGATATTGATAGCACGGATTGGATGAATACGGCATGGGCACAGCTATAGCTCTCGACATACAAGTTATACAGCTAGCATTGCTAGGATAGCATTGTCGGCACTCTGACATGCGTATGGGACATGTAGCTCCCAGGTGACAGTAGTCCCTCTGGTAGATTGAATATGCTCCCGGTCGTGTATCGCAGCACCCGTTGTTGCAGCCACCGCACATGCGTGCAATTGTCTCATCGGGTGATTCAACTAGTGGACTATCAGTGCCTGGCTCTGGCTTGGAGTGGGGCTCGGCGCTGCTGCTCGACTGTGGCGAGGACACCATGTGCGTGGTGCGGAGGCACGGGGTTTTATTTCGAATCTCTGGGGATCCGATTTCCAAGTTGACCACTTCCTGCCATTTGGCTGCTATAGAACTGTCGGGAAAATTGAGCCCCTCGTACTTTCCAGTTAATATGTGAGCAGTTTTTTCAGGCTTTCCCTTAGTGTCCTTTAAAAACGACTTACGGAAATTCTTTAATTTTCCTATTTCACTTTCAATCTTTTTGTGCAATGCATCAACCTGTACACTAGTTGATATTATCTTGTTATCCTTGCTGGAAGAGGAGGTCCGTCGAGATTTCTCTGCATGCTCGCGTCCGAAGAGTTCGCGAACCTGGGTTTGCGTGTTCTTAATGTACATATCGCCGCGACCCTCAATAGAAATGCGTTGTTTTCTCTCTAGTACAAACCCTTTACCTAATCATTTATGGTTACATTGAATTCGGAAATATAGTTTGGGCATCTCGATATTAGAACATACCCAACCCTTTTTGTTTGGTATCATTCTTGATGTCCATAACAGTTTTTGTAAACATGGGATATAATACAAATAATTGTATAAAAGTATAATTTTTGTTGTGTTTTCAAAGTTGTGAATGGTGATCAAAAGTGAGTAAATTTTGAAATTTTTATATGTCTAACCTTTTTTAAATAGTTGAATAGTTGAGTTAATAGTTGACTTTGTTAATATTCGGCGTAGCTTGCTAACTGAGAAGTAAAGGCTGAGGAACAGAACGGGGATCACAATATTGAATTAAGGCTCTTATCTTATGAAATTATAATTATAATATAATTATAATAATTTCAGATTATTGCTAGAATTATTTGACGTCTTCGAAACGGCAAATGAAGAGGTAATGATAGTTCAATTAAACTTTCTGTCATGATTGCGTTAGCTAAGACACAACCCATTTTCGATTTTCTTTTACTGAGGTGGAAACTTGCTAACTGCTTTCTTATTTGATTTTAAAATGCCATAGATGGTGCTTTAGTCTTGACAAATAACGATTATTTCCATATACGTTTCTGCACTGCTTGACGTACTTTTTCGGTCATCAAAAAAGACGAAGCATTGAATATACCAAAGGAGCCTTTCCATTTTGTACCTATCAGAAAATTTCAATTTCATTTTTTTTTATTTATTGATTTATTTGTTTTTTAAAAGCAGGGACCGCAAATAAGTGTTACGCATTTAAAAAAATTGAGGCTCAAAAGTATTCCCAAAAAGAGAGAGGAAAACACACATAAGGATATTTTTTTATGGCGAGTTCAAAAAAAGGATAAACTTTTATTGGTAATTTTTTATAAAAAAATTATTTTTAATTATTAAAATTGATTTTTATGATAAAAATCAAAAATAATTATTACAAAACAATTTTATATAAAAATCAAATCATAAGTCTTATATTTGATTTTTATTATAAAAATCAAACATAAGAATTATGATTTGATTTTTATTATAAAAATTGAAAATAAAAATTGAATTGAAATATCTCTTGAACTAAAAGAGCTAGATCATATATTTATATATATATATGATCTACGCATTAATACCTTTAATTTGATGTATAATACGTATGTAAATATGTATATGTATATGCGCATATACATGTACATATTTACATACGTATTATACATCAAATTAAAGGTATTAATGCGTAGATCATATATATATAAATATATGATCTAGCTTTTTTAGTTCAAGAGATATTTCAATTCAATTTTTATTTTCAATTTTTATAATAAAAATCAAATCATAATTCTTATGTTTGATTTTTATAATAAAAATCAAATATAAGACTTATGATTTGATTTTTATATAAAATTGTTTTGTAATAATTATTTTTGATTTTTATCATAAAAATCAATTTTAATTATTAAAAATATTTTTTTTTTAATTTATCAAAAAATAATAATTATTTTTTAATTTTTTCCTATAAAAGTTATAATCGTTACGGTCCCTGTTTAAAAGCCTATTTTAGGCAAATCATTAATTTGGTCAATGATTTTGGATGCAAGCAGTTATTTACAACGGTTAATTCAAACAAATAATACACTTTTACTTTTTTAGTTTATTTATTTGTTATCTAATATATCTTTGAATTTATTTTTATAAATTATAAATTGTATACTATATAATTAAATAAATCAAATAAGCTCAAACTATTATTCAATTTAGGTGAAACTTGGAATGTGCATTTACTAATTGGAAAATAGCCACTAAGGCTCTTACTTATATTAATTATTGTTCAATAAGAAGAATTGAATTAAAATGAAGCAGAGCGTAATTAAGAAGGTTTGGGGAAAATATGGGTTTAAAAGGTAAGACAGTGGTTTAATGTAGGGTAATTCTGTTGATCACATTCGAAAAGAGTAGTCTACAGGCTTCGTATATATGAGAAAAAGATTTCAAAACGTATTTATTTATTTATTTGTTGCTTGATTTGTTTTCACTCTGAAATTCGTATTCAGCAAAGGAGTATTGTGTTATATTTGCATTATGGAGGAAAATGAAGAGTGATTATGATTCTAAAATTTTATTTAATTTTTAATTTTTTGTCAGGTAATATTCAAACGTATTAAACTAGAATTGGAATACGCACATCAACGTGAAATGAAATTTGATCACTTGTTTGTCAGAGGCTGCACCACTGTGCATGGCCTATTCACTCTGTGCTTGCTGCTTGCCGCACGCATGAAGATTAAGAGCCAATTCATTCAGTTGTCGACTGCCAGCCAACGCGCTCGCGGCTGTTGTGTCTCTCGGCTGCTGTACAACAACAGACTGTGTTTGATTATTGCCGGGAATATGGCAATGGTTTGCTGAACAGAATTCAAAAATATCAATTCTCAATATCGGTAAAGAGCTCTAAAGTAATGTGTCGAAATATGTGCTATAAGTATATAAGTATATACAAGTGTTTGCAAAGAAAGAGAGAGATGTTGGCTTTAAGTGTTTTGAGCATGCGGTTGCTTATTAAGAAAGTCCGCCCGGTGAAGTGTCTTTGCCTCGGTTGTGCATCCTCCCGTGCGCTTTCGGAAAGTAACGCCATTTGTAGTGACAGTTGGTCGGTGTGCATTCTTCTCTTACACATATGTGAGCGTGCGTGTGTGTGTATGTAACGAAATCAAAGCTGGAACCCGCCAGGGACTGAGACAGAGACAGAGACAGGGCGAGGGACAGTTGGAGCCACCCTTCGGTCGGTTTCATGACATTTCCCAGTATGCTGGCTGCATATGAGTTAATATTTGTCTAGTTTTGTGTGCGTTTCCCTTTTGTCTTTTGACTTTTGAGATCTTTGTGCTTTGTCAGCGACTCATCGCCAGCATCCTGTCGCCTTTGTGTGAGAGCTTACAACAAATAGCCCCACTTACACACCCTCGCGGAGTGGAACCCTTTAGCAGCGTGTAATGCACTTGCCTGCGATATTCGAGTGTATGTGTGTGAGTGTGTGTGTGCATCTAGTAAGTGGGTGGTTCCATTGCGCCGTAAAATATGCAATTAGAAGGACATCAAAGCATTATACCGCCAGCATTGAAGTACCAAGCCCCATCATTAGTGCGCAGCCGTGTGTACGTAGTACGTACCAAGTATGAAGTGTGTCAGTTTTTCAGTTTCAGTTTGTCAGTCTGCTTGAAGGCCCGCCCGAAGTCCTCTGTGCTTTCACATAATTTGTGTACATTCTTATAAATGCTGTTTTTTATTTTTTGTTTTGTTTTTGTTGTGCTCAGTTTTGACAAAATGTGGGCGACTCTGTCGCTGCCCCTTCTGGCAAGCCGCTTTGTGCGCTGTCTTTATTCTTTAACACTTGCAAACGGGCGAACGCGAGGTCAATTGGCTTAATTAGTGTGTGACAGGGCCTGCGCGATGAGCGGGCATGCGGACGATGGGTTGTCTTTTCAGTGATGTTTCTACTCTTTTGGGATCCCAGCCCCGTCTAGTCCAGTCTAGTCCAGTCGAAACGCTTATACATTTGTGATGCCAATGCATTGCTTAACGTTGCCATCTCATTATATTCGATAGACGCATTCTCCATTATCTAAAACCAGAATATCACTTCAGGCGGTAGCCCCATTGAGTGGGTTCATCAGCAGAATATGTATATATATTGGAATATAGGCGTACCACTCCACATTTACGTGAGCCGACGCGCTCTGCGGCCATAGCAAGTGAGCTATTCGCGGTGACATCCGTTTCCTTCCGCCGATAAACTAATGGTTACGAAATGCACTAACGACAAGGACGTTAAGGGCAACCACAAACGCGCTTATCAGCAGCAAACAAGCAAAAACCACAAAAAACGCAAATCCAATCAAGTCAATAAAAAATGCGGCTGTCTTGCCTGTTGCTAGGCATTGCACTTTTAACGGTTAGTGTCAGTGCCCTAAAACAGGACCAGCAGCAGCAGAAGGAGATAGGCCACAGTAGGTGGGACGGCCACTTGCATACGGATCTTCATCCGCATCGACGCAATAAAATCTCCGACTTCAGAACCCAGACACAGCTACGAAGGGGGAAAAACAGTCGACCCACCACCAGCCAGAAGGAGGCAGAGGAGGAGGAGGGCTACGACTGGATCGACGTGGATATCAGCGATGCTGATGACCACCCCAAGCTGGCCCTGGATCTTGCCACAGCGAGCACTGCTCCCCATGGTAAGTCGACAGCGCCTTATCAGTGCAACTATAGTATGAATGGTTGCCCGATTGCCCTTTTCCCGCTCGGAACTTCAAACGAAACGGCTTATCAGCTGCTTGAGTTCGCACTGCCAGCTATTCATTGACTCAAATCTGGCCGATGACTTATTGCTCTGGCATCCTCAGTCACAAACAATAATACAGTGGAGCATCCATTAACCCATTCAGTAGACCGAAAATCTCACTCAAATGAATTCCCATTAAGAAAACCGCTTTGATTCCGTTCTACATACGTTTTCCACATAGTAAGTCTCACAGTTGCCAAGATTTCTTTTTAAATTCAGCAGCTCTTTTTTCACTTTTCATAAATCTGTTAGCTATGAAAATGTAGTTTCGGTTAATAGGGGCTCTTCGAATGTTTTACGCTTAGAATAGGAAAAATGCTTGAAAAATATTTAAAACGCTTGCTCAATGTCACATAAATTCGATTAATCAGAGACATACGAAGATCTGGAACGATATATGATGTACATATACGTATATATATCTATATACACATATCTCTATTCAAATACGTCATGTGAATGTATCTCATCCGCTAGCCTAATCAAAGGCAATATACAAGAGAGAATGAAATGTTTTAATTGAAAGTGCCCGATGATGAGTAACTATAAGCGTGCATGCGAGTATGTATGTGTGTATTCTGCGTATGTATGTGTGTCGAGAAGCAGTGGCGTATGCTGCAGTCAAAGGGGGACTCATCAGAATGTTTTGCATATGCCTTTATTGAATGTGCCAATGCAACAAATTATTAAATTAAATGAATTCAAAAAATTCAGTCATAAAACAATATGGTTATAAATAATAATATAAAACTGGCGTTATATATTTTTGTAAATATTTTACAAAGTGAAGTGAAAGAAGAGAAATTCAATTGGAAGTTGTTTTTCTTACTATCTCTAGTCTCTCTCTACAGCCAGGTTCCATCATTGAACCATGTTGGACCGGGCGTGCGCCACTGTCTGCATGCGAAATGCCACATCCGACATCCAACATGCCACATGCGCATGTGTCTCAGTGTCGTGTGTGAATCCAAATTGAAGCTGTGTTAAAGCCTTATTTAAACTACACTGGGAATGGCTGTTTTCTGCTGCTGGCGCCAGCATATTCCACATACATATGCATGTGGCGCCTCACCCCGAGCTGGTGCTCCAGCCCCAGTGCAACGGAGGTCGTCCTGACCAAACCACTTGCCATCAACACCAACACTTAATTTGCGCGCTGAAGTGAAGTGCGAGCCGAGAGTGTGATAAGTTTGTTAGATTTCCAATGAAATGTGATTTTATGGGCTGCACATATTTGTCGTTGGCGGTGCTTAGCTGGCTATCGCTTGCAATTGCAAAAAGGGCTCTGCCCATCGGTGGACAGGGTCCGGGGTTGACGCCTCGCATGCCAATGCAGCTGAGTGTCGGCATCGGCATCGGCATCGCCATCGCCATCGGCATTGTCATTGGCATTATCAATTCATTGACAGTCATTAGAAACGCTTTGCATACTAATAAATTCCGAGTGTCGGCGAGCTGTTCGCATGTATTGTTTGTTTGTTTGACTTGTCCATAATAAATGGTAATAAAACGATTATTTATGAATGCATTTTGAATAAAAGATGATCCATCCTCTTCGGTGGCCATGCCCCACCGGGGCAGGTTGATCCCCGCCTCTCGCCCCCGCCTGCGGCAAATCGTGGCAAATCTGAGCTCTATAAATTAGCTGCGGCATTTGACAGGCCTGCTTGGGTACCAAGAAATACGAAAATTAGCTAAAGTATCTGCTATTGAGACGTTTTCTTTATTTATAGGCCACATCTGCCTCATTGCTTGGGTGCTTCGGCCTGTGTTGACAGCTACTAAGATCATTGGCCACACTCTGACTCTGACTATGACTATGACTATGACAGACGCCGCGCGAAGACTGCGCAACTTTGCAACTGTAATAAAAATAGCACTTGACGAAGGAAAAATACAAATAGAATGGAAAGAAGTCGAACTGAACGAGTCGCTGACTAGCGAATACCCTGTATCTGATCAAACAAACGACTCGCCTTTCACATATGCATAAGCATGCATAGATACATATACATTAGGAGATACATATGCAGATGAATTCATCTATGCATGCTGAATTAGTGTATTTAGGGTGTAAGCCTATCGAATGAGAATTGTTCACAGTTCTTACGAGCAACTATTCACGCATTTTAATTGTTAAAAAACTGTTTTGGAATCGAAATAAAACTGAAATGGCGAAACAGCGCGTGGAAATCAAAAATGATTTCTCAAGACTTCAAAGTGAATGCTCTAAAATTAGTCATAAACCAAAAAGTGTCGCACTCGACTGGCAAAATAGAGGGGCATGCCAAAAATACGGGAGGTAGACGAGCGGCCGAAATGGGGGAAAGACGAGGAACTTGTGCCCGCGATGCCTGGCCCACAGCAATTGCACACACTTAATTAATGAGTTGTGCTTTTGATGTTTTGGGAACTTGAGCAGCTGGCCCCATCTCCGCCGGGACTGAGTCGAAATCCCCGCCCGCCTCTCACATTCGTCCGCCTCAGAGCATGTGACAAAAGCGACATTTTTCACGCACCCAACGAAACTCTTTGAGCCCGCTCCAGGGCGACTGCAAGTGCAACTGTCTCTGGGCTGTTAGGACGGATGACTAGGGTGAGGCATGTGGCGCACATGTTGCTCGCCAAAGTTCAACACCCAATGAGAAATCGCTAAATGATGCCAGCCAAGGCAATCTAAACGGCAAGTACTTAATAAGAGATCACTCAGACTACTCATGGGCAATGCGCACATGCAACATCTACTCGCATGTGCGGCACACATATATGTATGTATGTATGTATGTGCAATGAGCACCTCTCTGGGTATTTGCATAGATAAGATGGGCAATCGGTGTGAATCGAACTAATTGTGCTTGGGTATTACGAAAGTCATCCACCAGAACGACAACGACAACGACAACGACTACAACAGCGACAACGAGATTGTGCTGCATGTGTCTTCTGTCTCACATGCCAAAAGCAGCGGCTGCAAATCAGGCGAATTCGCGAGCTCTGCCGCTTTTTGACAGCATTTTTAATGAGCTCGGAAGTGCATTCTACCAGCCGAGTCACTGTGAATATTTTCACAAGATCTTAAATTCCTTATCTTCCCAAAAACTTGTGATATATATCCACTCATTCTTTGACGAAGAAGACCAGACATACACTAAAGAACTACCTAATTGCCTCTATGAATATATTTATCGGCTTGCTGTTGCTGGTCTGCCTGCAATATCAGATATATGTATATATATATAGTGGTTACCTGATAATATTTTACTCAAAGGCAACTTTGGTGTTTAGCCAATTGCAAATGAATGAATCATGTCAACTGATTTGTATTTTAATTGTATATTTGCAGATGTCTTCACGTGCTGCAACCAGGTCTTTGGCTCATGTCGCACAGCATGCGAGAACGTAAGTAGCTGGGATCGATGGCCCCGCCTCGCTATGCTTATGTTTATATGTATGATATGTATTGTTTGTTCGCCTCGGTAAGGTTCAACGAATCCCTGGTTTTTACATGAGTGTCTTGTGACATAGGTGGAATACATTACGAGAAAGAGAGACACACACACGTACACACACACACGGGCATTGTGGCCAACGACTATTTTGATCAGTTGATAAGGCGAGAGACTCCTGTGTCCGAACATTTCCTGGTATTTATGCCTATCGCAACGAGCTGCATACTAAACCAAGCGCCAGCGTGTTATAAATACAAGTTATTAGAATGCATTGTGCGCGATGGGCTCAGAAAATTATTATGACAGCCAATTCATGACTCCAAGAAAGAACTTTGACAACTTCCGTTGCTGCTGATGTTGTTGTTATTAATGCTGCAGCCTTGTCCCGAATGGAAATCCAGGCGCGAATAACTAGCTAATATTGCACTGATAGCTCAGACTCGAGCAATTACATTATTAATTAGCATCAGCCACAAACAGGTAATTGGCAACAAGACCAGCCAACGATCAACGACCAACCCAACCTGTTTGCCACTAAAACCCATTCATAAGTTTAAGCATTGGAGTACAAACAAGGAGCGACCAGCTACGGTAAACTGAATATGTAATACTCTAGCAGAGAAGAAACAGAAACGATTTGCAATGCAAGTGTTATATTCCATGCAATGTTAATATCATGTTTACATAGAGATTGAATCTCTAAAAACCTAGAATAAGCAAGGGCCAGAGACCAGAAAGTTCGAATTTATATAAAAGCCTCTAGTTACACTAGTCTTTATTTTAGATACTTAAATATTTCGATAGTGCATATTATTGAATTATTTTTGTGTGTGGGTCTGAGAACTATTAAGGAGTATTTAAAGGATCGAACTGGATATAACCTTATAAAAACCTATTACTAGATGATTCTTTCTATTCTCTATCACATTTAACGGTAGTTGAACAGAATCATGCCGGACTATATAACTATATTGTTTCATGTTTCATGTGTGGGGTTTAAAAGTCATCGTTAAATTGTTATTAAAGGCACATATACATATTTATGATATTTACAATACAACCCCATTCAGTTATTACATATATATATATATACACATATATATAGATATACATTTGGAAAGAGCATCCATAAGGCTATATATGAATTTCTGTTTATATGTGTGTGTGTGTGTGAGTCGCACACAGAGCCAGTTACCTGTGTGGTTGCCGTTCCCGTTGCCGTTGCCGTTGCTATCTGCCTTGCCCCGCACTATTGTCGACCCGCAATCAAACCACTGACATCGTTTAACTTTGTAATCATAACAATTTCTAAAACCAATTAGTTTGTGCAACAGTTTCTCGTTTGCTGCGGCAGAGAATGGCTTGAGCTTGAGTTTTTCATTTATGAATGCAAATGAAGGCATTAAATCTTTGCTTAAATTGAATCTGACAAAATGAGCGCCAAAGGATAATACCTGTTCCCAGACCGGTTTAGCGCATTGGGTGCAGCTCAGCATCAGCAGCAGCACATCGAATGAACACCAGAAACCCCAACTGAAACCGAAGAGAGGAGTCAAATCTACCCAAAAAAACGTGTGAAAAGTCGAGCCAGATTGCATCTTGCTGATAATTTCATATTATTGCTATTGACAAAATCACCCTCTTCAAGACTGATGAAGGTGTGGCCAGGCGATAATCGTTTAAAGTTCGTCTATCTAGATGCAAACATTTCTGAAAGACGTAGAACAAGTGTCCAATGAAGCGAAGGACCTTCAGTGTGCCTTACATTCATTGTAATTATATATGTATATATATATATTATATATATATATATATATACATATATAATTACAATGAATGTAAGGCACACTGAAGGTCCTTCGCTTCATTGGACACTATATATAATATATATAGATCGGAGCACGCCTATCTGTTGCAAGCCAAGACACTTCCTCTGCCCGAAGGAAGTTGGCCAATGGATACGATGTATGTATGTAAATTGTGAATAGTGCGATGGCTAAGAGAGAGAGAGAGGGAGAGAGAGGAATAGGCGTTTTGTATCTTTAATAGACATCGACGGACTCAGATTACTACGGCAGATAAGCGGGCCGAATAATTTGTTGCTTCGGTATTGAAGTATTCTCGCCTTATTTATGAGGCGCTGGCTTGCCCTCACAAGCGAGCAACATCTCGAATGTAACATAATACACGAGCTGTGCGCGGAACAATGGAAGCGCTCAAACAAAGTGCAGGGTATATCGATACATTTTGGAAGTGGTGAATGTTCCATGACAGAGATAGTATTCAATACAATATATATTAATATAATCGAACAATAAAATTAAATATAATATATAAAATATTAATGTTACAATATATTGTTTAATAGAACGATTCCAGCTGAGGATGAAGTGTATTCATTTGAAAATGTAAGGACAGAGGAGAAGAGGGCAAGCGTATGCACGATTGAGATTTACTTTCTTATTGAGAGATTACAAAACAGAACAGAGAATGAAAGCGACGAATCAGACAATAGTTGGTATAGTGGATTAAATACGAAGCTTCTTGGGAGTGTATAAAAATATATGCGGCTGACAATGCCAATAAAACAATGGATATGGAATTATAAGATTAGAGATTGGCGGAAATAGAGAATCGTACAGAATGCCTTGAAATAGAAACGGCGAAAGGCGCTCAGCAAAATAGTAGAAGGGCCTGTAAGCTTATGGATCTTATGTCAAAGCAGGTGAAATAAAACTGACAGCCAACGGATCGATACCACCCAGAAACTAGGGATTACGAAAGCTACATGCTTCACGGCGGGCATGGCTTATGCAAATATGAGTTGATTAAATTGTAAAAAATTGTTTTTAAGCATTCGAAACAGCTTGATGTGGTATTAGGAAAGAATCGGAGTATACTGAGGGACTTAGCAATCAAGCTAGGAAGATTCCCAAACAAACACTTTATGAATAGAAATAGAATAATATTGAAAATGTATTGACGAAATGAGCAAATGTTGATCAACATCAGCCTGAATAAGAAGAGAAAACATATATTTTGGTCTATTCTAATATTTAGTATAATTTTGACAATAAATATTATTTACTTTAAGATATCCTTGATTCAATTGGACTCTGGAAATGCACGTGAGGAGCCACGCACGGAATTGAGAAAGTATTGTGAGCTGCATCAACTGGACTTTTGGAGCTGTGTGAATCGCACACTGGAAGGTGAGTGAGATGGCAGTGCCTCCAGTACAAAGAGTGTTTCCTAAATGGCATTTGCAGCGGTTGACAGAGGTAAATCATGGTCCGGCCGTCGATGCTGCCAAGTGGCCGTTCTACCAAAGTGCAAAAACTCCTGCGCAACTGCGGCGGCCAGCCACGAGCTGATTGAAGTCTGCCGGCGCAGCGATGAGCAAGTGCTCTACGATTGCTTTGAGCACCAGGAGGCAGCCGACAGTTGTTGTGGCAAGGCGCGCACCTCCGAGTGCCTGCAGGTAAACAATATGCAATAAATAAGACGCACTGCCTCTACTACTTGGGTACTGTATACCCCAAGTCTCGCTTGGTGAGAGCAATGGGTTTCGGTTTTTACTGGGAGTTTTTTGATAGCAAAATTGAATGGTTTGGTCTTAATCTGATGTCTGGGAAGAAAATAGATTTGAAATTTATGCTAAATGGACCGGGTTCTATGTAGAATGCAATAGGCAGACGTTCATTTAAATTGGACAGCTATGAAACGTGGAATGCTTTATTTCTATGCCGGAACAGAGATTCAATTGATTATGGGACGTAGCAAGTATAAGTAAATTATAAATATTTACCTGTACTGAATTAATACAGGCACCTATTTTTTTTTAACATACAGTAGAGATATTTTACAATTTTATCATTTAATTTAAAGTTAACGTTCGGAAGGAAAAATAACTGTCTGCAAAAATCTTGAACGTCATTTTATCGATTTTAAGAGATGCATATATACACTTGCTCGCAGAACTCTGCGTACACATGCAAACAAACCCATATTTCTATGTTTACATGTGTATTACATTTTATTTAGGACACATAAGGCAATACTTCTTTTTTTATAACATTTCTCATTCAATTATTAACATAAATATGTTTTTATTTTATTATTAAAACTAAACCTAATATGAAACAAGTAAGAAAGCTCTAGCCAAAACTGAACCTGAACCCCTGAACCCTTCGAGCAAAAGCTATTTCAATCATTTTTCGCGTCTCTCTGCTTACACAAGACACAAGACACACGCACACTTACACAAACACACACACGTACACATACACACGCATACACACACACATACACATACACACACACATACAGATTATGATTATAAATTATGATCATAACATGGATATACATGTATTTGCTAAAGCACAAGTCTCTAGTATTTGAAATACGCCTTTTACAAAGGTGCGGGTGATGGGGTGGATATAGAGGTGGGGGGTAAATTTTAATAAAAACCGAAATTGTATGATAGCATATACATTTAAAATTTGGAGACTCTATCTTTAAAGATGTAGGAGATATAATTTTATAACTGATTTTCGATAAGGGTTTTTATCGATAAAAAAAGAAAGGGATGAGTTATCGATTTTTTGTGATAAGCTCGATATCCGCGCTGTATATATGAAGTCCCTAGCTCTTATATCTTCTGAAATCGACGCATTCAAACATACGGACAGACGGACGGACAGACAGACGGAGAGGGCCAAATCAACTCAGCTCGTCGCCCTGATCAAGAATATATATACTTTGTGTGGTATGCCACGCCTCCTTCTGCCTGTTGCATACATTTCAACAAAACCATTATACCCTGATTTCCCATTGAAAATGGGTTCAGGGTATAAAAAGAAATATCGGTAGAAGTTCGTAAGCTTATATTAAAAAAAAATATATATAGGTTGGAAGGCAAATCCTACCGAGGAATTGGTCGATTGGTAGGCAGAACTCATTCCTCGTGCCAAAGAGTCTAGGACAATTATGTTTCATGGGGCTCCATATTGTCAAAGCCCCGTTCAGGTCGCCCGCCCTTGCTCACCACGGAACGAGAGAAAAAACGTATCGTCCAATTGGTACCTCAGAATCCAATGATAACTGCTCTCCAAGGATGTCTGGAAATTGAAGAACGTTTCTCCAAAACTGTTTCTGAAGAAACCATTCGACGCACTTGGAAAAAGGCGGGCTATCATGGCCGAGTTGCACGTAGGAATACCCATGTATCAGAGGTGAAGAGGAAAAGGCGTATGGACTTTGCCAATGAGCACGTTTCCAAGCCATCTAGCTTCTGGAATAGGGTAATTTTTTTCAGACGAGAGAAAGTTTTGCCTATTTGACATAAAAGGAAAGAAGGTAGTATGGAGAAAAAGCGGAACAGCTGACAAGGAAAATTTATTACCAACTGTGAAGCATGGTGGTGGTGGTGTAATGGTGTGGGGATGTATGGCGGCCAGTGATGTTGAAAATCTCTCTCTTATAGAGTCAACAATAAACCACAATGTCCTAAATAAAATGTAATACACATGTAAACATAAAAATATGGGTTTGTTTGCAAGTGTACACAGAGTTCTGCGAGCAAGTGTATATCATATGTAATTATATGCAAATCAATTCATTTCCAAAAATGTATTTCTGATTCGGAAAAGGAAATCAATGAAATATAATATTGGGCTTTAGCATCATTCAGATAAGTGAATCAAAATCAATTAGAAACCTTTATTTTTGTAATATGATTCTTCTGATTAGAGCTTAAAACCTTGTTTGAATGTAAGCAATTGAGCTAAGATATTATTTATTTACGACAGGCTTGCCGTGAAGTCTTTGAGCCTCCGAATGAAACTGGATCCGCCAACGCCGATAGCAAATTGGTGGATGAGACATGTGGGGAACGGAATGCCGATGTGCTGCAATGCATTCACAATCACACAGATATGACTCCGCCGGTAGACATTGAGAAGTGTAAAGTGCACGCACGCCCATATATAAATGTTCCATGATTGATTTAGATTCTCCCCAACAGACTTGCCATGCTGCGAGTACAGCCACGAGGAGAAGTGCCATCAAACATGCACGAATGTGCTGTATGCATCCAAGTTGAAGCAGAGAGCCGAACGCAGTGACGTGGTCTTTGCGCGCCTTGAGGCCGGCTGCGGACTCCCGATGCCCCATCTCCCCTTTTGGCAATGCTTCCTGACGGTGACTCGAAAGTTGTATGTACCCTCGCAGGAGGGAGGAACGAGGCAGTGGCGCCCCGAGCTGTCCTCCCAGGGAGCTGACAACGAGGACCCGAACAAACTGGGCATCGATGCAGCCAAGCGCCAGTGCTGCGAGCATGCCAGCAGCCACAAATGCCGCCGCCTGTGCACCCAGATATTCACCAACGACTGGTGGGAGACACGCGCGAGCTTCGACACCGAGTGCTTGGAGCAGCCTGCTGAGATGGATCTAAGGCGCTGCATTGAGAGCGTAGACGCGCCTTGTGAGCTGGGCTGTCATGGACTGAGTTTTTGCAGCAATTTTAATGATCGGCCAACTCAGCTGTTTCGCAGCTGTTCGCCCGCACATGATGCGGCCGCTCGGGAAGATTTCTTGCTGTTGCAGCAGCGCGGCTTCATTCGTGTCTTGGGTCAGGAGCTTTACATAAAGAACACAACGCGCTGTGCCCCTGACAAGTGGCAAGCGCTGGTCTGCGCCTTACAGCTGCAGCCCTGCACCCGGGTTGGCCTGTATAATGGCATTTGCAGAGAGGATTGCACGGAGCTACTGGACGAGTGCCTGGATTGGACTAGACAGCCGCAGCGGCCCCAAGCGATTTGCGACCGACTGCAGCCGCCCACAGGGACGGATGACGGAGAAGAGCCAATGCCGTGCATATCACTACGCGGCTATTTGAAAGAGAGCGATCCAGCTGAAGTCTGGAACGAGGGAGCGGGCAGGATGGACTTAGCAGTCAATTCACCCTGCACCTCTAAGCCCTGCAATGCCAGCGAGGTATGTGTGCCCCAACGAAACGGCAACCAAGGGTACTCCTGTGTTCCGGGCTGCAGTCTGGGACAAGCCTCTGCGCTCAACGTGCCCTTCGGGGCATACGTCCGGGTGGGCAAAATGAGCACCCCCCGCAGTGGTATCGGCCTGGCGAGTGGTCAGCTGCTGACTGCGGAGCATGTGGTGTGCCGTTGTGGCATTCGTGGCAACGTGGATCAGTGTCAACCGCTGCCCAGCTACACCCATGCGCACTGTGTGCTGCCGGGTGGGCGAAGCTTCCGACACGGCTCATCCTTTTACCTAGAGTGTAATCTGTGCAGCTGCTTTGCCGGTGAAATAACTTGCACCAAGCAGCAGTGCCGTCTGCCAGGCTACGTGGATGTGAGCTACACCAGCTTGCCGTGCAATTGTCCAGCCCACTACGTGCCCGTCTGTGGGGCCAATGGCAACACCTATCCATCGGCTTGTGTGGCCAAGTGCCTGGGCTTGCTCGAGAACAGTTTTTTGTATGGAGCCTGTAATGCCCGCAATGCCTGTCAGGCACTCAGCTGTCCGTCCGGCACTCAGTGTCTGGAGAAGCGTCAAGTTTGTCTTTCCAGCATGCAGAGACCGTGTCCCCAATATATTTGCGGTAAGTGAAACTATTCTAATAGAACAGATCAAGTTAGAGAGTTATATTCCGCCTCTGCTGCTATTGCAGTGAATGTCTCGTCTTCCGGCTGTGGGATTCACCACGGGAAGCAGCTGTGCGACACGGAGGGCAAGACTCACCAGAACGCCTGCTCCCTGCTGCAGGGTCACTTTCAGCTAGCCTATTGGGGAGCATGTCGGCCGGAGTACGAGGCGAGGAATGAGTTGTCCGAGCTAGTCTGCGGCACGAACGGTGTAACCTATCGGAGTAGCTCTGCTGCACTGGCCGACTTTGTGACTGTCGACTACGTGGGTCGTTGCCGCGAGGTGGGTCTGCTTGTCAGTGACATGGGACGGCGCTGCAGGACGGTGCAATGCCCGAGCCTTCCCTCTAAGCATTGCCTACAGATCGTGCCGCCTGGGGCTTGTTGCCCGATCTGTGGCGGCGCCGCATTTCGGATCATATACTCCCGCAAACAACTGGACCGAGCCTATTATGCACTTCGCGGCCAGCACAACTCTCTGCTGACTTTACATGGCATTCTGCAGGAGCTCGATCACTTGGTTCAAGTCAGCGACTGTCAGCTGACCGGTTTTCTCACCATGGAGGTGGGCATCTTTGTGGCGCTCGTCCCTCGTGGCCGGCCCACCTTACTGCAGGCAAAGGTCTGCGCTACAGAAGCGGAGAAAATTTCGGCCCTGATTAGCTCGCAATCACCACGGATTACTACAAATCTGGCGCTGTCCAGCCTGACTGTTTCCCATATGCTGGAGCTCAGTGTAAATGGCGGCGCATTAATGCCATCGCAGAAAATTGGCATTTTGCTAATTGGACTTTTGATCAGCCGCAATATAGTATATATTTAAGTGTAATTTAAGATAATTGTACGGTCTTACAAATCAAGTGAATTCTTGGTGCCAAACATTTAGCAGTTAAGTTAGCAACCCCCATCGTGCCTTTAGCAGGTAGGGATTGACCCTCTTTACAATGTGATATTAGCAAAATTACTTGTTGAAATATATGGCGACTCACATTGAAGACATGGATACGAATATTATGGCTAAACATTAAATACCTGTAAGTTTCAGTTGTACCGACCAAAGCAGTTATTTATCTATGATTACAGCTAGTCTAATGTAATGTATTGTATCTGTAAAGTAATAAAGCACGCCAAATATGTATTTCGCTGCATTTTCGTTTTTCTTTTAAGTATAAAAGTTCTTTATTTGCCTTTCCGAACTTCATACATATTAATTGTATTTATTATCATTTAAGTGCAAGCCCTATTCCTTAAGAGACTTCCATTGGAACGACCTGCACACGTTCGGTGATCTCCAGATCCTTAAGTGTTGTGTGAAGGGTGGTGCCCTTTTTGAATCTGTAGTCCAACTGGCGTTCGCCCTTCTTGTTCGCTAGCTCGTAGTTCCGCAAATACTCAGTGCTGTCTTTGCGAATCACGCAGAGATCCACGTTGGATCCAGATCCAAGATCATTGAAGATACCAGAAGCAATAGCATCACGCACCAATTTTTTTCCTTCCTCCTCAGATAGATCGGGCTTCCAACGGCTCTCGAAAACGGTCATAGCTGCTAGCGAGCCTGATCCCATGGTTGCGTAGGGCAATTTATCGGAGCTACCATGGGGATGAATGGAATATATGTGCGGTCCGTACTTATCGACACCACCCAAGACCAACGCAGCGCTAATGTGGCCCTGGTAACGGAACAACATCTGCTTTAGTATGTTGTTAGCACATACTACAGGCACCTGTCGCTCAGTGTTGAGCCGATGGAGCTCCAGCTGAGATGAGATTAAGTCTGTGGTCATCTCCGTATCAGCGGCAGTGCCGGCACCACAGCAGCTAAATCAACATATATACATATATATATTTATATTATATATGTAAGTATAGAGCTAGCCTTTATTCTACTTACTAAATGTTTTTAGCCAGATAGTGGATCTTGGCGCAGTTTTTGTCAGATACAATGGGTCCCTCAGTGGCACGAGTGTCAGCTCCTAATATGACACCATCTTTGTAAATTATACCAACAATTGTGGTGCCAGTTTTCGTCATTGTAGGTGGCTTGAAGCCGCCTTGTATGAGGGCAGCATTGCTGAAATTATACAGATTACGTGAGTAAGTAAAACTAAGTGCAGTCACACAGTAATTTTACCGCCGGCAATTGTCGAAGTTGAAGCCAGCGCGGGGTAGATCTGGAGCAGTATCCAAAGTCATGTTGAATTAATATTTTACTTCTTTTAAAATCACAAACAGAATGACAGTGCAAATGACAGGCACAAATTGTTGTTTATCGAGAAGTTTTCACTTCGCATACTCTGTGTTTGAGTATCGATAAGAACTTATCGAGTTGCTTCGATGAATGCATCCCTGTGGTGAATATGTGACTTATTAATTTGTATATTTTAATAAATTATATACGCATATTCCTCTAATATTAAATTAAATTATTTCAAGTAAGGTTTCAAAATATTGACATATTGATATATTCACAGAGAGTTTTTACACATACATTTTTATTTCTTTGTATGGAAGTGCTACTCTTACTTTAGTCACGACAGTGACTGTGAAAATACTAATAATAGAATGGAAAGAGTCGTTCTTCCTATATTCCAGACCAACAGATGTTAATATATTGATGACTTGTTGTTTAAATAGTAATTATATTATTGACTGAACTTCAATGGCGGCGGCAACAAAACTGTTAAAAAAATCATTGGTCGGTATTTCGCAAATACAGCAATACCGAAACATTGGTAAGTTATTTCGCACACACACATTTTGAGTGCCGCATGCGGAAACTTTATGTAACGCCGGATGGGTTTTATTTAAGTATAAGTTACCTATTAGTTTTGGTAAGTTAAAGTTTCATTAATCATTGGTAACTTCAAAACTTTAGCTAAATCAGCGATCAGTGCTTCAAATGGACATCGAAATGAACTTTTCAATCAAGAGCGGCGCCGTCAGCAGGATGCAGTTGGTCGATTGGAGAAGATCGAAGTGCGTTATTTGGGTCTACCCGAGGACGTGACGTTGGTCATGAACAATAACATCTCGACTCCATTTAATTGCGCACAGCATTTAAGCGAGGGCCACTGCAAACGGAGTGCGTTAGCGTTAATAGACGGTAGTGTTCCCTGGGATATGCACAGGCCTCTGCAGGAATCCTGCACGCTGCAGCTCCTTAACTTTAACGTATCCGATCCGCATTTAGTTAACAAGTGAGTGAAACGAAATATCCGTATAGACACAGTAGACTAACAGTTTTATTTAATAATTAGAGCCTTTTGGCGCACCTGCAGCTTCATGCTAGGCGCTGCGTTGCAGAGGGTTTTTAAGCAGGAAGCTAATCTTCAATTACACAGCTTTCCGGGACCAAATAGTAAGTTTAAATATCAACACTACAGTTGAACAACATTTATCGATAATCATTTTCAGTTAAATCGGGAAGCTTTGTCCATGACATCGTGCTTGGCGTGCAAAACTGGGAGCCGACGAAAGCTGAAATGCGAGCCATTTCAGCCGAAATGGTTAAGCTGGCGGCACAGGATTTGTGCATTGAGCGCTTGGAGGTGGATCTGGATCTAGCAACAGAAATGTTCAAGGACTTACGTTATAAAAGCGAACAAATACCAAGTATTGCACAGCAGCATCAGAATCGCGTAACGCTTTATCGCCTTGGCGACCATATTGACATTTCGCGTGGCCCGATGGTAGCGTCCACCCGTTTCCTTGGAAAATGCACTGTGTTAGCGGCACACAAGTTGGCCAATGAAGGTGCATCGGACGCGTTTTACCGAGTACAAGGTGTGGCCCTGCCCGCCGGCTTTGCACTAAATCACTTTGCATACGGCTTGCTGGAGCAGCGTGCCCAGAAGTTGGTCAGTCTGATTAGTTGTGAAAATCGACTCCTTACACTCAGTAATCGTCTTTTTATTACTCTTTGCAGAACCCCGCTCGTTTGCCCAATGAACCCTTTGAGGAACAGCGACAAATGCAATTATCTTAAAATGAAAACTCAGCACATATATTCACAAGAGGTTCTTTAATATTTAAAGCTATAGTCTATAAAAATGGTTACCATATACATTAAAGATCGTTATAAAGAGCTTAATAGTAAATATTGTTACAAATTTTGTATTTTTTAACGTCTCTAAGCTGTATACAAAAATACCTCTTAATTGGCACGTATATTTATTGCATATTATAATCATTAATATTGTTTAATAGTTTAAATTCTTGGTCAATATTATCAATTCACCGGTTCGGCAATGGTCATTCAATGGAACACACAACCAAATATAATGTTTATATCATATACTATATATAGTTTTGTACGGATTAGCTGTTAAGGTTTCTTCTATCTCTCAAGACTTTAGTGAAAGCAAGGAGAAACCGTGTTACGACTCAACTGGCATTTAAAAGGTCAGGTATATTTTAGTCAATGGAACACGAACAGACAAATATAATGTGGAAAACAAATATTTAATCTATACTATTAACTAATCAACCAATCGCATGTTCATTAGTGTTTTGGGCTAGTTTAACCGCGATTGTTTTCCATACTGATTTTAGTTAAATTCCTTAACAATCTTATGTTGCCACTTCAGTTTTTGGATGATTGAGATTCTAATACTGTGAGACAGTGAGGGACCTAAAAACTTTTAAATAAACCCTCCAAATCGTGCTCATTGATTGCAATGATTAACATTATGGCTCCTCCCAGGAAAATGCCTAATATTTGAATGAGAATGCCTTTTGGGTCGTTAGCTTGGTCAGGATTGTGAGCCACGCTCATCGTTGGCACCAGATCGGCAAATGCTATGTACAGGAAGGATCCCGCAGTTGCCGCATAGATCCACTGTGTCATGTCGTTGCCAATACCGACCAGCAGCAGGCCAACGGACATACCCACAAAACTCAGCACCGAACTGACAATGTTCATATAGACGGCGCGACGTATGGATACGCCTGTTTGTAAAAGCAAAGCAAAGTCGCCCAGCTCGTGGGGCAGTTCATGGCATAGGACGGCAAAGGCAGTGGCCAGCCCTGTGACGGGATCGCTGGCAAAGGCGGCTCCTATGGCCAGGCCATCGGTAAGATTGTGGAGTCCGTCCCCAATGATGACCATGAATGCCACTGGGGTTAGTGGGCGATTTGGAGATTTCTGATCCTCCTTTGCCTCGTGCAGCATGACATTTAGCTCGCGCGGTGGCTGCGCCTCGAGTGTTGCCTGTACTTTGTCCACATCTTTGTGTGTGCTGTGCGTGTTCGGGCGAGTGTGAGTGTGTGCGTGACCGTGTCCATGACCATGGCTGTGCCCATGGCCAGCCTTATCGCCTTTTAAAATCGGGATGAGGTTTTCCAGCATATACATGAACAAGGCTGCAAGAAAAGCACTGCCGCAAAGCAAAGCTGCCTCCGTGCTGTGCTTGTGGTCGCGCTCCTTGTCCGTCAAGCGAATCGTCTCCAATGCATGCTCGTGCTTCTCCTCCTTGAAGAGGGCATGTGGCAGCAGATGCATAAAGGCGTCTCCCGCAAGGGTGCCAACGGCTATCGCCACTAGGAACTTGAGTATCTTCTGATAAGCCATCGTCTTCATAAGCGGCACGAGCAGAATGCCCAGGAGTCCGCAAGCTTTGAAGGAAGGTTGCTTAGTGATTTGAGCGATTTGAGACTTTAATGCGATATTCACCTGAGAGCACAAACATGGAGATGCTTGCATATATCCAAGCTGTGAACAGTTAAGTATTATAATACAATCTGACTTCCTCGATACAGACTTACCATTCCAAATCCTCTGTCCTCTGTCCATATCAGAATGCTTTGGATGCGGCGCCGGCTGAATGCAAACTCCATTGTCAATCTGTGCCAGCAGCGCTGGGCACAGCTTCATGAATGCGCCGGGTGTGATCCGAACGTTGTTGATGAACTCATTGTACTCCTCCTCCCAATTGTGCTCCTCCGTCTTGACAATCTGCCTGTACCGTGTGCCGCGGTGCAGATCGTTGTGATCCACAATCAGCGTCAGCAGCGACTTTGGCGACAGGCATGTGGCCTCAGGGAACGGTACTCCATCGATAGCAGCTGCAGACGGCAAAAAGTTAGTTTTTTCATTTAAATAGAGCTTTCCTACCATCTCTATTCCAGCTTCCTTTATATCAACATTATGGAAAAAAGCTTGAGAAAAGAACATTAAACATCAACATTGAGTGAAATATTGTCTTGACTTAATTATTGAATTTTGAAAAACGCCGTAGTACCCGATCAGAATATACCCAAATGTATCGGGATATACTCCATTTAATTTATTCATGCATTAATTTTAGAAAATGTATATCATATATGAACGCACGCTTTTCACCAGAGCTATATAAATCACACCTGAGGCAGGTAACGGTTAATTTAAAAATGCTTCCGATTTTTTCAATGAGATGTCTAGTCAAAATGGGCAGATATACATAATTATAAAACGCACGGTAAAAGATCAACAGTTATGGCGCGTTTTTCATTTCCTCCATTATTATAGGTTCGCGTTTATAGTCCCGGATGATGTGTGTGGGGATCGTTTTACTGACTTTTTGTTGACATTGCTTTAACACTTTCAACGATATGTCTCGACGAATACATATCTATACACAACACCTCTGTATATACATATAAGTAAACGCAAAACTGTAGATATAAATTATCTGTATTTATCTGGAATTAACTCTTTACTGTAAGGAAATAGTGCACTCAGCCCCACTTTACGTGGATCTAACTTGACTAAAGACAGAGATATAGATTATGATCTGGATGCCAGTCGAGAGAACAAATAAACATGTTTTTATTATTACTTTTTGTGTTTTTGTATTCGCCTCGTAATTAAATATGAAATTGAAGGGAGTTTAGACCTTCCTTAGCGGTCCTATTTGTATTTAAGTAATCTATTACCAAATGGGGATTTACAGAGTGCATCAGATTGTTAGATACTATTTATATGGTTTTGGCACGATTAATAGCAAGACAATACCACAATATACTATATTTAAGTGGGACAATCGCCACGGGAAAAGTACACCTCTATCACATTTAGAATTACGTGTACATATTTCACCTTAGTCTCATTAAAGTGGATTGACATATTGACAGTCTGGCGGATGTTTCCAAGATCAATATAGTTTTCTTTTCCTTATCCGTCTACCTAGTATTACCGTCAAGAAACAGTTTGTATACTTAGTTGGGGAGGAAGAACATGCCAGCTTATAATTGTCGTTTAAGTTCTCATTTAGACTCATTGTGTGCTCATTGTCGTGGGTACC